ATCGTTTTGTGTAAGAAGTTTGATTCATTGTGAGACGGGTAGACCTGAATGCATGTATATTGCTAGTACCATAATACAGGGACGCGGTATGGTGTCGACTTCGCTCTCGCGGCTACGTGTTGGTGTTCTTCCCATGGCAGGTGCTGGGCATGGGTCCCGAAGCCCGTGGCTTGCCGACTCAGGTGTTGCTTAGTAATCATCAATAGTCTTCGCGTCTCCCTTCGGCACTCCTCGTTCCATCTCCTCATCATCCTCCATCCGTGACGTCATCACCCGATTCACATCTGCAGCACGTCTTTGCCGCGTCTTTGCGTATCCATACAGTACGGCTGCCGCCATGATGGAAGCTGTTCCGAAGCCTTGCCATCGCGCTTCACCTGAGTGCATCTTATCGCTTGCTCGCTTCTGAACAATCATCTTCGTGGACCTCGGAACAGTTGCTTCTTGAACCGCCATCGCTATTATTTCGCTCAATTTAGTCGATTTGCATCTTACTTGAGCTGTGCACATATGCCAGCAACTATCCTCGTCCTGGTCTGGAAACATCGTTGCGATGGCGGCCCGCGCCTGTCAGTAACATTTACTCAATACGCCACGTTGTCCATATTGCTCTGGTGACGGTCCTATCAGTAAGTTCTGTGGTTGTTGTTTTGCTTCCTGAGTGGAACGACAAACACTAGGAGGCTATGATATGTGGTATGATTGTCATCAAGCTACATGATCCTAAAGGTAATCGACATTGACGCTATTTCTGGTCCATCACTGGCAATTGTCACGCTTGCTTGCTATCACAGGGGTTATAAGGAAGGGCAGAGACATATGTATAGAGAAAGCGACGGCTCCCTTCCCTGGTTATCATCCATAATTCGCTACTGTCTCTGGCCTTTGTCACTACGACCAAAGTGGGTGGCGAGTGCGTACAATCTAGCGTTAATGTGGAGAGAAAGAGAGCGGGGCAGAAGGCAATTCCGTTAGAGGCCGTTGTCACGAGACGTTTACGCCTGCACAGTCAGTGCGCCGTTTCCGAAAGAACTGGGCGACCAATCAGCCAAGGGGTGTACGTGTATATCTCACCTTTCTAGTTTTGAACCCGAAGCGTTTAGGACATAATCAACCCCGCATCGATATCACGGCCAGCAGTTGATCTCTAAAACGATTCTGCATAAGACGTCAAGTCTTGATACAATGGGTAGATACGCCAGAATCAAGTTGCAGACCAATGTCGCCGTCACTTGGCTCATCGAAACTGCTTCCGAGCACGGTGAGTATTGATTTCCCCTTCCGCCACTACCTACGTAACGTACTCTCTAACACGACTTTATTGTAGGCAGCAATGTGCAAGTCGGTGGCGATACCAACTCCAGAGCTTCAGCCGCGGCGACGCCCACGAGCACTTCGATCAAGACAGGCCGGTTGAAGGGAAAAGCGCGCAAAGAAGCAAAGAAGAAGGAGCAACTGCAAAGTCAATCACCCGCGCCTAAGATCAAGGCCTCGAAAACAATCTACAAAGTGTCAACTGAGGAGATTCTTCGCCAAGCCCGCTATCTGGAGAACCTTGACCAGGAACTCGTCATGTCTAAGCCTGCATGGGACGCCTTCAAAGAAGCTGTGCGAGGCCGTACAGAGTACGCCACCAAATTCGCTAACAAACAACCGGACCATGAAGGTAACGCCGGTCACGTATACTTTCTCGACACACTTCGACAGGTAGTCGACATGATTGGAAAGGTTGTTCGAGTCCAGGAAACCTCGCTGGATAATTCGGAAAGACGACAAGACACGGGTCTGACCTTGCATAATTTGTTTGACGTCCTCCGGGACGTTGAGCTGACCGATGATGTACAAGGAACAGCCAACCTGGCTACATCTCCCGACAAAGGTTTAGCTTACGGAACGGCTGCAACTGTACCATCAGCTCGTTATGAGCCGGCTATCGACTCCGACGAGGAATCACGGTTGCGTTGGCTCTGTTTCAAGGACGACGCTGATTCAATTATATCATGGGTAGTCAACCTATGGAAGCAGTACTTTGACCATTCTGAGGAAGATGTAAGCTTAGAGACTAAATCTCTCCTATCAGATCTAGCACTCGATCTGTTGTATAAGATCGAAGACGGCATGGAGCATAACAACGACAAAGTAAAGGAAGCCATGTCCAAGGAGCTAGCCTCACTGAGCAACTGGAGTTCGACCGTCCTTGCCCTCCACGATTTCCGCGCCGCTACATATGAAGGTACAGGATACCCGGTCGTAGTAAAGCTGGTACACAAGAGACAACCCCATCTAGGACTCCATAAATACAAGGATTTCATCTTGTTTGACGCCAGATTTATCCGCTATCTTATAGAGCTACAGCTAGAGATGGTTAGTCATGACAGACCACTTGAGGGACCAAATTGACTGTTCTCAGACACTCCGTTCTGATCTTTGGGAGCAAAATGGACCACCGCCCCCCCACCAACGATGCATCAGTAATGCAAGCCTCGACCTCGTATCCCGCACGATCGCTGGTGCAACTCGTGGAAGCCAGCACTCCATTGCGGCAAGCCTTCTAGACGGGATATGGGGTCTACACAGTCCGAACGCGCATGAGCCTTTCCACTACGCCGCCCGGCTTGCGGAGGTCATGTATGATCAGTCCAACCACTGTCGTTGCGATGGTATATTGTATCCGGAACGGGCGAAAGACAAAACTCTTGAGTTTAACGCCTTGCTCTCGTGGACCTTTGAGTGGCCTGGCGAAATCTTGCGATATTTCGATCTTCGAGCCATTGACTCCAACCACCCTGCCGCAGCCCTCTCTGGATTCCATCGCGACATCTGGAAACATTTTGATCTCAGTATGGCCAGGAAAGAACACATCATCAAGGCATGCGCATCAATTCCCGACCCCGCAGGGACGGCCGAGGCGCGTCTACAATTTGGCGAGGAGCATGTCATGCCATCAGAAGACCCAAACTTCCTGCGCAAGAACAATCCGCTTACACCGGCAAAGCTAGCTCTCAATTTGCAGTTTTTACGAGCTGAGATTGGTTTCGATTTCGCGAACGATGATCTTAGCTTGTTCCTCATGTGCCACTTGTATAACGCACTCCGGCAACTAGGCTATCTTGACGTTCCATGGGAAAAGCTCGACTCACTGATCGACATGCACATCAAGACCATATTTCTTGGTGCACTTCCAACGGAAAGCGCCAAGCAAATGTGCAACCGCGCTTCCATCGCGGTTGGTTGCGCGCCAGAACTTGTTCGAGCTGCAAACACTGGGAAAGGCCGAGTGGCAACCATCAAGAATATGGCGGTATTGAAAGAGAAGAGATTTGGGGCCTTAAGTTTCCCACCCAGCATGGCTATCGTTGCAGATCATCTACATGATCGTGAGCCTCTACGGCGCACATTGACGCGTCTCGATGCTGAGATGGTCGCGAAACACTCTAAAGAGAACAGAAGCTCTCGCGTCAAATCCTTCCTTGACGAAGAAAACCCTACCGCCTTTCTCGATCGTCTTCGCAACCATGTCGCAGACTTCCCACGGTACCTCGCGCTCGACTGTATTGAGCTGACACGCATTTGTGGCGGTCTTCTCAGGAGGTTGAAGTCGGATGACGTGAAAATACTCATGAAGTACGGAGGAGTGGACGAAGTACACCAGCAATATGTCGCGTTGCTAATCCTTCAAGAGCTTGACAATGAAGAGTATATGACACGACCAGGTATGACTGTACCGAAAGTTACGTATGCAGTAGAAGCTGCGGCTATACTGAAGGAGTACATTGAAGGTGGCGAGGATGCTCGAGCAGCGGTTAAAGACTACGTGCAGCGCTGGTAGTTCTGCTCCGCGATGATGACTCTCATACCGTAAATATGTACGCGTAATCTCAGAGACATACCCGCCTATTACCCAGTTCCAGAACCAGATCATTGGCCTTCTCTCTTTCCACAGCTCATAATCCTCTAGCAGTTTTCGTCAAGCTTGTCATAGATTACCTCACGCGCACGAAGCACGCCTGTCACCATACATATACAGTGTTTCCCAATGAAGCCTTATTTCATCTCAGTAACCAGTTGTAGATTTGCCTTGGGCATGCTACATTAAAAGGTTACCACGTCGCCAGCTCGATCTATCCTCCAGGGCTCAGTCCGAGCTAGAGAGTGAGTTATACCCAATGCGGTAAAGTCACTCGGGGGTCCGCACACTCCTTGAGCGCGTCGCAGCGTCCTCAATCTTTCTTCTCCACAACTTCGATGGCGCTCAGGCTTGAAAACAAGAAGTTCGGTTTCCTTCTAACTATGCACTGTCACTTCTCTATCAATCTGGACGAGAATGTGTAAACGTCTTTCAATGCCCGCGGAATCAGCATACGTCCGAATGATGTCACATCGGACGCATTAACCGACGCGGAGGATAGCGCATCAGCACATCATCATGCCATTCGCCCTGTGCTGGCTGAAGGATGTGGGATTGTGCATTTGCTGCTATTATCGTTGCAGCGGGGGACTAAGCACTGCATACCCAAAACAACTCGCACGACCTTGAGCTCGCGGCCCACTGGAATATTGACAACGACCAGCATTTTGGTTTCTATTACACGTTCTGGACACCGAAACTTTTAGTACTGTCGCATCACCTATCGAGTCGGGTATTCTCTCTCCACGTTGGATACCAGCACTTGTCATGTCGTCGACACGCGCCAATGAGCACAACAGCGGGAAACGAAACAGTAACGCATCACAGCTGCCAGTATGGCGCCGAAGACTACGTCGCATAAAGTTACCGATACTCCCAGTTCACAATCAGGAGGGCAATAGAGATCTCGAAGTCACCACAAGCAAAGGCCACCTCTATTTTCTCGACCAGTTTCGCGACAAGGTACCTCTACGCATTCGCAACCGATTTATTGCAATGATCTCTGAGTTCGTGGGAACATTTTTCTTCATGCTCATCGGACTAGGCGGCAACTCGGCCGTCATCAACAACACAGCGGCTGCTGCACAGTTTAATGGAGGCGAATGCTTCAGCAGATCCTGCTAAGATCCTGCTCATCGCTACGGTCTGGGGCGTGGCTGTCACGGTCAATGCCTGGACCTTTTTCAGGATTAGCGGTGGGCTTTTTAACCCTGCTGTAACTATGGCTTTGGTGCTCATCCGCGCCGTACCACCACTTGATGGTCTTCTCGACGTCTTCAGCCAGCTTGCAGCATCTATCTTGGCAAGCGCCATTGCTTATGGACTCCTACCTGAAGGTGCTCTTGCAGCCACTGAGCTGGGAGAGAACACAACCGTCACGCAGGGGCTGTTCATCGAAATGTTCATTACCGCCCAGGTCGTTGTGTCCATATTCATGTTGGCGACGGAAAAGCACAAGGCTACATTCATCGCGCCTGTGGGTATCGGATTAGCTGTATTTGCATGCGTTCTCATGTAAGTCTTCCCTATATTCTCCGCAGCTATTTGTAGTCAGCACTACACGATTAGGGCAAGTTACTCACGAACTATAGGGCTTCAACCTACACCGGCGCAGCCATCAACCCAGCTCGCTCTTTTGCGGTCTGTGTGGTGCAGGGAAGCTTTCCACACTACCATTGGATCTATTGGGTTGGTCCCGGGCTGGGTGCACTGCTGGCAACTGCTTTCTACCAGTTGGTACGCAAGCTGGAGTACTGGACGGTGAACCCCAACGTCGACGACTACGAGACGAAGGTTGGCGAGACCATTCGAGACGTCGCGAGCAGAGTGGCAGACATATCAAATGTTCCAGGCACGAGGTCAAACGATCCGACGAGGATGCCAGAGGGACTGTGATTACTTGACAGATCCACTGAAATTCAATCTGTTCAACACACAGAGTGCATCGGGGCGATGTATGTCTCTTTTGGTCTTTGCATAGAGTACAGGTCATCTCGTGCTTCTATACAGATACGCGTACATGTGCAATGATATAGCTATATTGGAAGCGTCTACAAACAGCAAGAAAGCATTGCGGTATTGATACGGCCATAGCGATCAGACTTATTTGCAATAGAACGGTAGCTTTAGTTGTCAGTCCGGTCCTAACTCCAAGAAAGAAACAATGCGGACGCGATAAGGTCGGACCTGCTTGATGCACGGGCCATTTGGACCCGTTGGTACTGTAGCGTGCCCGAAACCTGGTAAACCCCAATGCCATCATCATCCACCAACATGCCCAGGCATGAAGCAATCCCAATCTCCTTGACGGAATACCAGGCTCTTCACTTTTCACTGACCTTCCTATTCAACATTACTGCGCCGCTTGCAAAGGATGCGGGCAACACGAGGCGCCCACTGCAGACCTTGTTTATCCGAGATGCCGGTTGCTGGTGCCTCTTGGCGGGGACGCAGCGCGCCTTGGGAGGCTTAACACCTGCTCAATGCGGCAACTACGATGCGCATATCAATTAGACTGATAGATGCAGTGGAAGGTAGATAAATAGGTTCGTTGCCTGGCCTGAGCACGACAGGTGCTTTGTTGCATTCGTCTTGAGTTTCTACCCGACGTATCGTTCTTGCTTCTTGCAAGTGCGTCGCCATGCGCTCTTTCGCGATCCTCGCTGCGGCGCTGCCGTTGATTCACGCCATCGACCCTCCGCGCATGCCACACCAACCTCTCGGCAATGGCACAAAGCGTCTGAGTTACAATGAGACCACCAACGCTCCTGGTTCTTTGACGCCCTCAACCCGATCTTTCACCTGGGTTGGCACCGGAGAGGATGGCGATTACATCTACACAGCCGCGTCTGGAGACTTTGTCTTCGAGAACGTCGCCACTGGCGAATCCTCAACTTTCATCTCGGCTGATCAGGTCCCGGCTGACTACTGGGACTACTTCATCTCGCCCGATGCGACCAAAGTCATGTGGGCCGTCAACTACACCAAGCAGTACCGCCACTCTTACTTCGCCGACTACCTGATCATGGATGTTGCGACTGGAGAGTCCGTATCTCTTGATCCCGAGTCCGTCGGCGATATTCAGTACGCTGAATGGAGCCCGGTTTCGTCATCTCAGGTTGCATTCGTCAAGGGCAACAACCTGTACATGTCCACCAATGGCACCATCTCCCAGATTACTGAGGATGGAGGCCCCGACTACTTCAACGCCATTCCCGATTGGGTCTACGAGGAAGAGATCTTTGGCGATCGCTACACTCTGTGGTTCTCTCCCGATGGAACTAGGATTGCTTTCCTCAGCTTCAACGAGACTGGCGTCGGCACATTCAGAATCCCATACTATATTGAAGACGATGCGGAATACGTTCCCGTCTACCCCAACGAATTGGAGCTCCGCTACCCCAAGGTTGGCACCAAGAACCCCACGGTGGTCATGAACTTGCTCGATGTTGAGTCTGGTGAATACACCAACGTTCCCATTGATGCTTTCCCAGAGGACGATCTCGTCATTGGCGAAGTCGTCTGGCTTACTGAGGAGCACAGTAAGGTCATGTACCGCGCTTACAACCGTGTCCAAGACATGGAGAAGCTGGTACTTGTTGACGTTGAAGCTGGGTCATCCAAGGTCACTCGCGAGCGCGACGGTACCGATGGATGGCTAGAGAACCTGATGCAGGTTCGCTACATCGGAGCTGTTGAGACTGCAAACGCGTCTTACGGAAACGCTACCGAGTACTACATGGACCTTTCTGATATGAGCGGCTGGGCGCACATCTACCTCTTCCCCGTCAGCGGCGGAGAGCCCATCGCGCTGACATCTGGCGAATGGGAGGTTCTCAGCGTTCTCAAGGTTGACTACTCTCGCGGACTCATCTACTACACCTCCACCGAGCACCACAGTGCTGAGTCCCACATGTACTCTGTCAGCTTTTCCGGCGAGAAGACTGCCCTGGTCGACGATACCGTGACCGCTTTCTGGACCGCATCTTTCTCTTCCGGTGGCTCATACTATGTCTCTCGTTATGCCGGTCCCGACGTGCCATACCAGGAGCTCTACTCCATCAACTCCACCGAGCCAATTCGCACGATCGTCAACAACACTGCGCTTTACGAGAAGCTTCAGGGCTACGCTCTTCCCAACATCACGTACCTTGATATGGAGCATCCTTCCGGATACACCCTTGATGCCATGCTCCGTCTTCCTCCCAACTTTGACCCCAGCAAGAAGTACCCACTCATCCTCCTTCCGTACGGTGGTCCCAACGCCAAGGAGGTACAAAAGTCCTTCAACGCGCTCAACTGGAAGGCTTACATTGCATCTGATCCCGAGCTGGAGTACGTAACTCTCACCGTCGACAACCGTGGTACCGGTCGTAAGGGTCGTGCTTTCCGATCTCTCGTCACCTCTAACCTCGGTGAACTTGAGGCTGAAGACCAGATCTGGGCTGCCAAGGAGATGGCAAAGAACGAGTGGATCGACAGCGAGCACATTGGTATCTGGGGTTGGTCGTACGGCGGCTACCTCTCCTCCAAGGTCGTTGAGGTCGGTGACCCAATCATCAGCTACGCCATGATCACCGCCCCTGTCAGTGACTGGCGTTTCTACGACTCTCTCTACACCGAGCGTTACATGAAGACACCCGATATTAACCCCGAAGGCTACAACCGTAGTCGTGTCCACGACGCTACTGGCTTCAAGAACATCGCTGGTGGTGTTGTCATCCAGCACGGTACCGGTGATGATAACGTGCACTTCCAGAACTCGGCTGCGCTAGTCGACCTTCTGATGGTCAACCAGGTCACTCCTGAGAAGATGCAGAACACTTTTTTCACCGACAGTGACCACAGCATCAACTTCCACAACAACGGCAAGTTCTTGTACAAGCAGCTGAGCAAGAAGCTATACGAGGAGAAGGCTCGTAAGGGTGACAGCTTTGGCGGACATCAATGGAGCAAGAGGGCTTTGGGACGGAAATGGAGGGCTTGAACGCGCTTCAAGTTCAGTCAAAAGTCATGTAATCTTTAGTTCCAACAATGCCATAATGTAATGAGTATCCAAAGGTCTACCAACTCTCACTTCACACCTCATCTTGTCAAGCACCCTCTTCACTATTTACCTCGTTTCGAACAATTATGCCTTCTTCGTACTCGTCATCATGTCGTTTCGAAAGAATCAACGCGTCCAGATCGACAGTGCCGTGTCGAGAGCGCCATGCGTTAGGGCGTCAAGGTCTGCAAGGCGAATCGCCGCTTCTAAAGCTGATGTGTGTGTGTCTAGGTAAATAACCGAATCAGCAAGGGTGACAATCAACGCTGATGCATGAGACAAACGCGATTTCTAGGCGTATAGTGAAGAATCTAGCACTCGCTAGTCGCATTGCGCTCGTCTGAGACTCCAATCACTAACAAACAAACCAGCGATATAACACAGCTCAGAACGGTCTATCGCCGCCACCACATCTACTGAACGCTTGAACAGACCTCACCCTAGCCGAACAACATTGCAGACCAGACCCGTCTTACGATGACGGTGCAGCGCGAAGACACGCCGAACGACAACTCCCAAAAGTTTCAACATATGAAGACAGTATCCAGTCTTGCAGATGGACACCGCTACGCACTACAGTACTTCCCCGAAGAGCTGCAAGCGCTGCTAAACATAGCCTCGCTCAAGCTCGACGAGCGTGTCCCTGGTCACTTCGGCGCGATCCTAGGATGGCAGAAAGATTCTGGAGAAAAGTCTGAGCACCCACGGGTGACGATGAAACCCTTAGAGATTCTCTGGGATCTGGAACACCGTACTATAGTACTGTCCGATTCGTTTCCATTTAGTAGGAGTACTTGGAAGGTCGTTGACATTGATCGCGAGGAAGCACTACCAGTATTGCGGCGCGGTTACGACCTTGTACCGCCGTTCTCAATTATCCTCACGGTAATTGACCATGATCACTTGGTCTTGCTGGAGGTATTCTTCCGCTATAACCTCCTGGTGCAAGGCTTTGACGACGCTATCGACAGCTTCAAGCACGACTTCTGGCTTTGCTTCGAGAAGCTTTGTCACCATGTTGCGGAGCAAACATCGGCAGCCGATGCGCAAGAAAAGGAGGACGACGCGTATGGGTCTGAGAAGACCGAGGCGTCCACGGCTACTCAGATACAAGACGCAAAGCTTGATACCCTCACCAGCGAAGTCGATACTAGCGAGCATGTACACCAAGACAGCAGTGCAGCGCCAGATGCCAAGGAGGAAAAGGCGGACGCCACCGGCGACCATATTGCGGACCAGCTCGCAAAAGCGCATGAGGAAGCAGCCGGATGGAAAAAGGCTTACGAAGGTGAGAAGAACTTCTCAGCAAAACTAAGGTTTGTGCTACGTAAGCACGTGGCAAGGACGGATGAGCTTGCTGCCAAGCTCAAAGAGCGAGAAGGGGAAGTGCAAGAGTGGAAGGAGAAGTATGAAGCCTTGTGCAAAGAGATCCGGGAGGCTTAAGCTATCTTGACCGCTCACGGATGTAGCTGGTCGCATAACATGGGAGTGAGAGAAGGTCGGTCAAGCAATATTATCTAACGACTAGTAGTGAGCACACATACTCGCTGCAGAGTTCATATTGATCCCACATCTCGTCTCCTCCACATCTATAGCCCTGTAAACATAACAGCTACTTGAGATACACCTCAACCCTAATTGACATTCAACTCATCGAACGACGAGTTCAACTAAGTTCCACTACTTCGATCATTCCCATCATGTGCAAACCGATGAGGCCTCCAATCGCCTCCACCGCTACTTGGCCTGCTTCTATCACCCCTGCCGTATTGTCCTCCATCACCGCCATTATCAGAGCCCTGATAACTACCTGGACTATTCATTACAGGACTAGAACGCTCTGAGCTCC